GTGGGTGACTAAGCCACACGCTTACCTGATGAACCAGGAAGAAGAGGACTAAAAGACTAGGGTCCCACAGTCTCCTTCAAGAACTTTATCAGTGACCTAAGAACTTAGCCCTCAGCTCCACCACTCAGCATTGTCATGTTCTCCTATAGCACTTTTAGTATAGGGTTTGGGAATATACTCAGTTCCAAGCATTAGGACCAGCTGATTGATCTATCATATTTACTTGCTACTAAAAGTTATGTGACCCAGCTCTATTGTATTAGATCACTCTGACTTAAATATTCATAGATGAAATATGGACTGCATTCTTCTTCTGTGTTCATTCTTCAATTTTAAGGTGACTTAAAAGAAAGTAGCGATTGATATTTACAAATGCAAATTAACCTTATTGTACCCCTCAATATTGTAATGCTTGATGACTTACACCATAATTTCTGACATTAAATGTCTTTAATCAAGTCTAAGTTTTTTTATTGTTGTTGTTGTTTTTTGCCAACTTGATCTGTGTCTCTGGGAAAATTACTTAAATTTGAACATGAATTTTCTTAATTTGTAAAAATAGTTGACTTCAGGTGCTATTGTGAGGTGATCAGCACAATGCTTATTGTGTACTAACTGTCTCAGTTGGGAGGATAATGAACTAAGTTTTCTCTAAATTCCCCTTTGGTCTCTCCCTTCCAAACCACCCACCCAATCACAGCAACAAAGAAGTCATTTAGGCAGTGAACTTCAGGCTTATTTTGAAATGGATATTCAGTACAATAAGAAAAAAAAAAGTTGACAGCTATGATTTTTTTGTTGTGTGTATGTTTGTGTGTGTGTGTGTGTGTGTGTGTGTGTATTCTCATGGGATGTGTGTGTGCTGAGTGTGTACCATTAGACACTTAATGTTGCAGTTGGCTATCTTTCTCCATCATTCTCCACTTTATTTATTAAGGTAAGGCCTTTTGCAGAACCTGGAGCTCTGCAGCACCCTGATTTGAGTTAGTCTAGGTAGCCACCTTGCCCTAGGGATACCATCTCAGAGTTCTAAGTGCCAGGATTATAGACAGCCACCACACGTCTCCAGCTTTTGCAAGAGTTGGGAGAGCCAAACTCTGGTCCTCACATGTATCCTACAGTGTTTTATGCTCAATGCATGTCCCCAGCCCTCCTGATCTTTTATTCAGTCCTTACAACCTTCTGGACTGTGAATGTGGATCAGCTGTAGATAGGATGACCTTTATAGCATGTATTCAAAAACATACATTCCATACTGAGCACCAAAAAGTTAAGATTTCACTAGCTCTGATTTTTGTGTCTGTTTATCCACCTTATATACTACTTCCTTTTTATTCCTCACTTATTTCTACTTTCATTATATTTTGTATGTGTAATTCTTTACTCCCCCCCCCTTTAAAAGACTGTTGCATGTTTGAGCTTTGCTTTCTACATCCCCTCGTGTGGTTGAGCAAAGTGGGGCACAGTATACACGAAGTGTCTGGCAGATGTTGGCCCTCAAGTAAAGTAATTGATTTGCTTCAGAAGCAAAAGGGCACTAGTTAGGTAGGTATCCTATGTATTGACAGGCAAACATCAGAAAAACTGAGTGCAGAGGGATATCCGAGTTAGGAAATCTGTATCCTTTTCAACAGAATGCACTGGAATTCAGAGTTACAAGGCAGAATAACACTAAGGAAAACACTTATCATTAGTTAGCTTTGTTCCATAATTAATTAATATGTTAGAATACAGAATAATAAATGAACATTTCTCCCTTTAACAAGTATATTAATAGAATCATTCAGTGTATACTCTTTTTGTTTGCACCTTCATCTAGTTTGAATGTACCCATGAGAGGTGGAAATATTTTAGCAAGTAGGTGATTGTGAGGAAGTTGCATTATCTTGTAGTAAGAATGCTCTTTCAGAAATGCCAACATTAGGGAGCATGTATGCATAGTCACTGGTGTGATACATTGTGGGTATTTGTGTCTCTGAGTTGCTATTTTATGTCTAATGTGCTGTGCTCTAGACTGATGTTTTGGCGTGATTTTTTTGTCCACTTTAACAGTTTTAGCTAATGTAATAAATAAATACATTGAGTTAAGTAACATGTGTCATAGTCCTCACTGCATTTCTGCACTCTACTCTGCAAAGGCCTTATGTGCATTTGTGGATTAGGAAGTTGAAAGATAGAATGAATAATTCTATGAAGGTCATAGTGAGGATGATAGAGCTAGCATATGTCCTGACTTGGAAGTAGAAATCTTAGTTCTTATTGTGCCTCAGATGTTCTTGTGGCCCTAAAGTAAATTAGCTACCTAAGCACTCTACTCACTCACACATTTCCTCTGGCAGACTGGGCTTACTCTTTTTGCAGTAGGCTAGGCACTCTTACATACTACCAGGGTCAGAACTACTTGATCTCAATTATATGTTCTTCTCATGCTATATTTCATGATCATTCTCTCTCTCTCCCTCTCTCTCTCTCTCTCTCTCTCTCTCTCTCTCTCTCTCTCTCTCCATATCCATTCTTTAAAATTTAAGCTTTTTATTAAAGCGCAGTAATGACTTATTCTGATACTTCCCTATCCACCCTCGGTCCATAGTATAGTACTACTTTAGCCAAAGGGAAAGGAATGAAATCAGGAACCCTGGGAGGGATGACTTCTTAGACTATGTACAAAGATGTACTAAGGCATAGTGCTTACAGTTTGATAGACGAAAGAGCTGTTCTCTTATGTCAAGAGGTTGTATTTATTACCTGTAGGTGACTTCATTAGTTTGTACAGGGAAGTTTTGTATAGGACTGTCTGTAGCACAAGAATAGAAACTTTCTTGACCTTGATACAACTGACTTCTGGATTTAAGGAGTTTCTTATGACAAACTACTAATTGACACCCAAGGTAAAGAGAATTCTCAAGGCCAGGAGGCTACTTCTATGACTGACCCAATGAGGAGAGCTCCTTTTATATTCTTTGCTTCTAGTAGTCAGTTTTGTTTATTTTTAACTCTGTTTTGCCTATTATATTTTATATTATTATAAATTAGTTCTCCATAGATTAACTTGTTAAAATCCGAATTGCACAATAGGTTTGTTTTAAAAAATAATTAAAAGTGTCTACTTTAAGTAGATTTACCAAAACTAGTCTTTAAATTTTTCTATCTTGTCCACTGTAGATGACTGAAAAACAAAAATAAGAATTTTTGGTGTATATATTATTGGAGACTGAAGCCCAGAGTTTTATGCAAATTTGGTAAGCTTGTAACATGAGCTACATCCTTAGCCTTTGGATTTTGAAAGTCAAGTCTCCAGCTGACCTCAACTTTGGAATCTTCATGCCTCTGCCTTCTGGGTGCTGGGTTTACAGGTGTGCATCACCACACTCAGCTTGTAAGACTCCCAGGGCTGCATTTGTGTCTTATTATTATTATCTTTCAAAGTTCTGCAAGGCTAGGCTGGTGTGGGAATCTTACAGTTGGATAGCTGTGGCTGTGTTTGACTCATGAAAAACAACTCTGAGCTCCAGGTAACAGAGCATATCTTTGACTAATATCAAAAGACCAGTGGTTGGAGGAATATATAGCTCAGTGGTAGAACATTAGTTTTTCATGAGGGAGGCCCCGAGATTGATGCATAGGAAGAAAGGAAAGGTATACGAAATAGAATGTAACTTATGTTGCATTTGCTTTTGCATTAAGCAGAACTTCATAGCATGCTTTGTTAGAATAGAAAATGGTCTCTGCATCCAAATGTTAGTTTTCGAACACAGAGGGCTGGAGTTTATTAAAACTCACCAAATGTTTTAAACTTGTATTATTACTTTGTACTATTTATTAGCTACCAAAGATAGAACAGCAGTGTGTTAAAATGATTACATTCTTATCTGAGGATAATGAAAGTATAATGCATATAACAGTACCTCACAGAAGATTCTGAAAATGTGTGTTTTTTGTTATGTTTTGCTCTTTATTCAGAGTATCTAACAGAATAGGACTAGGGATGTAACCTAGTAGAACATGTACTTCACATGCACAAAACCCAGGTTCATCCAAGCACTGGGAAAAGGAAGGAGGAAGTGAGGAGAGAACAAATGAAGACCATTGAGCCAGGATGGATATCCGGGGTTGTATTCTCCTAGTCTCTGGTATACACAGATCTTATGTTAATTAACTTCTGTGCTTCATTTTCTTTGTCTAGTTTATTTTTTTTGTTTTTGTTTTGTTTGTTTGTTTGTTTTTTCGAGACAGAGTTTCTCTGTGGCTTTGGAGGCTGTCCTGGAACTAGCTCTTGTAGACCAGGCTGGTCTCGAACTCACAGAGATCCGCCTGCCTCTGCCTCCCAAGTGCTGGGATTAAAGGCATGCACCACCACCGCCCGGCTGTCTGTCTAGTTTAAATGGGGAATAATAATATATTCTTCCTGGATTATGACATCTAAAATAATTAATTTATATGACATTTACAATAATACCCAACACATAATTAGTTCATGTATACTTTTACATAAGCAAAGTATTGGTAGTCCCCATCTACACTAATCAAAAAGCGTTCAGACATTGATTGTTATTTTCGTCCTGCATCAAGCAACATGGTTATAGAGTCAGTCAAAATGACACTGTGGCATTGAAAAATGACAGGAAAAAAGAATATTTCAAAATGACATTTGCCTGCTTGGGGAAAAACCAGTATTCTAGAGATTAACTACTCTTGTTATTTTAAGAAGAATGAAACAGTTTGGGTCAAAGTAAGGTTATATTAACCTTAAATTGTCTTGTTTTTTACTGATTTTAATGTCATATGCTTATTTTTGGAAGGAATTGTTTTCCTACTTATTTTAAAACTACAACATATAAGACTTGTGACTATAAAAAAAAAAAAAAAAGCCCTGATTATCTCAGCCTCATTAAGTGGCCTGGATTGAATATCAGGTCATCAGAATATTTATTAGTTAGATAATCTAAAAGTTTCTTTTAAAAATATGCACGCTAAAACATCCTTAATGGGACTGATGGCAGCTTTGGTCGTCCAGGAGTGGAGTGTTATTGCCAACATGACAGTGGAGCGGCAGTAATCCAACTCCAGTTCCTGATTAATGAGGTGAGTGACTTGTGTTTATCCCTCCTACTTAGTGCCAAAATTAGAACACATCAGATTGCTTGCACATAGTCATCTCTAAATATTTGAACAAAAATGTCATTTCTTGTGAGTCACAGGCAGACATAATGCATTTTAAGGTGCTACCACACAGGTAGTCACCCAATATGTTTTCTTGGAGTGATGTTGCAAGTAGAATAGTGTGGGTAGATATTTTTGACACCTGATGGTGTATTTTAACTTTTGTTTCAAGGATTTGGATAGTTACAAAACATCAAAGAGTCTATATCGAGATAATGTTCGATACAGAGCTCATTATTGGTAAGAGACTATTTTAACAGGGTGTTTCAGAATGTTACCAGTGTTCAGAAGTTGATTATTGGTTTTGTTTCCAGGAATGGAGTGTGAAAGGAGCTAGAGAAAAATACCATTTTCCAATATAGGAAAGGGTTTGCAGGGAGATGCTTGGGAAAGGCTCCACGTTCTTTATATTGGAAGACTGTTTATAGACGTTCTCTAAGAAGTCCCAAAGGATGTGTGAGAAAGATGGGCCAGTGAGATGGCTCAGTGGGCAAAGGCATCTTAATACATTTAGGCATGTTATTAAATCAGCCCCTTAGTTTATAAATTGTTTATCCCTCCACATATCGCTGTCTTCTCTGGGACTTTGATGGAAACACACTTGCAGAGGTCCTTGCTCAGCAAATTCTGACATGTTGGGCCTGGGCAAGACTGGGCCACCTGCAAGGCTCTTGGGTCACTCACTTTCTTACCTGTGAGTGATTGTATAAACTAACAGGGTGTTGTAATGTGACCAGTTATTCAGGGTTTTCCATTTTGTTCAAAGTTGAATAGTGTCATTATTCTGTTATAATCTAAATAAAGGTCTTCCATTAGTATTTATCATACATAAATAAAATGAGGTCACTTATATTTTCTTTTTAGTAAAGAAAGTTTCTATACTAATGACTAAATGATTTGGGTCTGATATCCATATATATATATATATATATATATATGATACTCTTCTAAATTTCCTGTCTACAATTTGAGTGAGGCAAATATTTCTTAAAACTAATTTATTGACAAAAAGTATTCAAATTGAAACTGGCCGCTCTTTGGAAACACTGTTATAAAATTATTACATATAAACTACTTTATTTTCAAGGGAGCCCTCGTGAGTGCCTTGGCTGATGATACCTTACACTTGTGGAATTTACGTCAGAAAAGGCCTGCCATACTACATTCACTTAAATTTTGCAGAGAAAGGTAAGAATGCTGTTTTCATATTAATAGAACATTTGCTATTCTATTGTGATGCACTTTTTGGAACAATATTCTTTTGGGGTGTGTTGTACTTAGTGTAGACCTTAAGAATACATGATATACAATGACAGCAGAGCTCTTCCTTCCCAAGGAGGATTGTATAAATTATCCTTTTTTAAAACATAGTTATAGTATAGGTATAAAGGTGAAAACATCTCTTTGTAGCTCCCTTTTTCTTTTTAATAAGAAAGGACTTTGCATCCATCTTTCTTAAGCTGTTTCACTAACTGCATACCTGATAGATTATCTTATATCAGCACCTTTACATCTCTCCTGGTCATTTTCACTCTCCTATTGCATGGGAGTGTCATAGTCTGTTCAATAAATCTTCATCATGTCCTTACAGCAGTCTCAACATTTATAGCATTTTCAGACTGTTGTTCCTCTTGATTTATTGTGCTGTGCTGTCACGATATATGTATATATGTACATATGTAAATATATCTAAAAGATAGATTTATAGAATCCAGAATAGTTGGTCTAAAAAAATCTCTCATAAGATTTGTGAACTTTAGGCATCAACTGAAGAGGTCTTCATCCCAATTTTATTAAAGCGTGTCCTCCAAATGTTTTCATACAACTCTTAAGTTTTCATTATTATGCTTCATCTTTGATTCATAAGGAACTTACTTTTGGCATGAAATATGAATTGGTATGTAACCTCCACAGTTTATGAGACTGTTTCTAGATTGTGTGTGTGTTGTGTGTAGTAGTAATAGGAGTAGTTGGCATTTAAGATAAAATCACTTCTTTTTTTGAAGGATTAGCCTATGTTACTGTTTTGATGAGTGTTGTGTTTGTCTGTCAGGTTGTATATACAGATCAGTCTTTTACTCTGGGTGTCTGCCCCCAATAGCCTTCCACACTAGGACAAGGCAAGCTAATGTGGCCTCTGAAAATACAGCGTCTCCTAATGCCACCAATCTGAGGTATAACTACATTAAATGTGAGTGGGTGGGAATACAGAGAAGACCTAGTGAGAGGTCAGTAACTATTTGTTGTTGTCTACATCTCATTGGGAAGTCAAAACACAGTTATGTCAATGTCAGTTCAGTCACACTTGCTTCAAGAAGGGCAGAAGTGAAGAGAAGTTGGAGCAAAGTCTATAGGGAAAACAAAGAAACAGAAAAAGTAAAGGTTCAGTTATTTTCTACCTCCTGAGAATCAGTCTAACCTCTTGACTCCTGCACAGTTCTTTAGTCTGTCAATGGAATCCCACGGAAGCTCTATATCAATTTTGATATCATAGAATATACATCAGATGGACATTTGGTTCTAGTACTTACCCTCTCATCAGTGCCATGCTACAGTGGAGGTGGACATCTAGCAGGATGGTTGTCACAATCATAATTTTGCCCCCCAAGAAGGCATTTGGCAGTGTCAAGAGACAACTTTCAGTGTTACAGGTAAGAGGAGTACTACTGCCTTCTAGTGGGGTAAATGCCAGAGATTCTACTATCCTTGCTACAGTGCATAAGATGGTACCCACAACAAAGAACCATATGGTCCAAAATATCAGAAGAATCAAAATCAAGAAACTGTAAATTGTAGCAAGTCAAAATGAGATATTTGGTCAGTGTAGTAATGTAGAAGTTCTTGTAAACTTCTATTCATTAGAGAGAGCTTGCCAGGAGCAAGAATTCTAGCAGAAGGATATCTCTGATGCCTCATTTGTCAGTGACATGCCTATGTTTTCAATTGGGCAGAGGAGTATGGCAGTATATTGTCCAGGCTCACATGCATATTCAGTGTGGGATGCCTATTAAATACTCTTAATGGAATAACTAAACATCAAGTGATTCGGTGGTAAGAACTTATGGTAATTAAATATGGAGGTTGTTTGTGTGGCAGTATTTCTAAGGATAATGTGACAGTTTTGACATGGGAGTCCTTGTGTACTTGTTCAGTCAAGTCCTAGAATGCTGCCCCACAGATGCAGGCTCTGTTTTGTGATATTATAGAAATTAGGAGGTGGAACCTAGTAGAGAGAAGTAGGTCATTAGGTGTGGAGTCTTTACTATATTATCCCTTATCTCTTTTTGCTTCCTCTGATTCCTGTTCCTATCCAAGCTCATGGGGCCAACCTTCTGTGAACTGAACCTGTGAAACTGTGAACCCAAATGAGTCTGCCCTCCTTAATTTGTTTTAATCAGGTTCTTTGGTCACAGCAATGAAAGCTAACTAACAGAGCGTTTCCAAGAAATTGTGGTAAACATTGATGGGGAATGGCAAGCCAGTCTAAAATGTGTTGGCAGATAAAGGTACCTTGGTGAGAAGTGCACACAATTGGCATTTTTCAGTAAATGAAGCCTGGTGTGTGTGTTGTCTACCCCTCCCCTGCCCTTGATTGGGCACCGTTATGTAAGGCACAGATTCGAAGCTTGCACAGTTGTATTCTACGTTTGTAAAATTGACAAATGAAATGAACTGATGGGATTCCCAATTCTAGACCTGTAAGATGGTTATCCACATGACTCCCAGAGGCTGGTTAAGCCAGTTCAAAATTCAGATACCCCAAAGTGTTTAGGAGGCAGCGGTATAGAAGACATTGAGGCAGGACTAAATGTTTCTTGAATACATCCTTTGAGAGTCCTATGATGGCTGTGAACACTAGCAATGGGCCCTGGTCTTCATAGACAGATCTTGTTCTGGTACTGAGTCTTCATGTGCCTGCCAGGTGAGAGGTACTGGACCATGAGTCTAGTTTTCCTCAGCATTTGGCTCCTGACAGGGAGAGTGGAATAAACAGTTTGCCTCAGCTATGAGGCTGCCCACTGCAACAGTGCCTGTTCCACTTGAATTCTTTGACACTCAAATATTCTATGATGCTCTGAAGATTTCTATCAAAGTAGCTTCCCCTGACTGGGGAGAGGCAAAAAGGGGAAAAATCTGCAATGCTTTGCCCATCCTTCCATCTTTCATTTGTAGGAATCTATTTTTCTTTATTAAATATATGTGATTTATATTTGATATTTATATTCTACATCACACAGAATATAGTCCACATTATGCTGTATTGACAAGTACTCTCAAATTCTCAATGACTTGCTTCAGCATCTTATTTTGCTACTCTACATCCTTTGTGGGCTTGTTGGGAATGCTATTCCTTATTGTCCTCTTTATCCCAGAATCTCTGAGGAGCAGTTAATCTTTAAAATATTGTCAGTTCCCGATGCTAAAGGGAAAGAGCATACTAACACCATTAACCCTTGAGGAAGATCCTACCTTGAAGTGATACTCATCTCTTGTACTCTTACTTATGTGACTATCCCTAACTTGAGTGGTAGACCCAGAAAAAGAGAAATATGCAGCAATGGGTGATGACAACCACATTACAGCAGTGGAGATGATGCCCATGACCCAGCTGCAGTGGTGGGTGATGATGGCCACACTGCAGTTTTGCACAAACCCATAACATGAATATGTTTTGATAGGTTGTGCTTTGGTGGTGTTTAAGAAAAAATAAAACAGATAGTTGAGTGTCAAATCTTGGCTTACCTCTACAGACTTGAGAATATTACTTTGTTGCTTTGTGTGATGTTTTTTAATTTACAGAAAAATGTCCTCTAAGTCTCATAGTCTTATTGTTTTATTTCTCTTAAATGCTTAACAGTTTGATTTTTTTCCCCAATTTTCCCATTTACTCTGAGGATAGTTGTAGAACATGAATCTTAGTCCTGACTGCTGAGCAGATATTTGGCATAATAAACAAGAAGGACGTGGATCTTACTTTTAGGATATTGGTTAAGGCTATGAAGACTAGTTAAACTTCCCAGATGCCCGATTAAATGTCACTTATTCATATTTAGTGAATAAATATGCATTTCAGTTTCCATAGAATGATTTTTTGATACTGTGTAAGAAAAACCTTAGGAATGTCCTGGTTGAGCAATTACCTGATTATCCACAGGTGACTGAAAAACCAGAGCTTCATTTCCCTACTGTTCCTAGGGTGGTTTCTTCAAAGTTGGAACTTGTGGATGGGCAGCTGGTGTCTTCTCCCTGTCTTCCATGGTTTCTCTGTGTGCTGGGCCCTAATTTCTTATGAGAACACCAGCCACACTGGATTGGGGCCGATACAGCGACTTTATCTTGGTACATCTTCCAAACGTGTCACACACATTCTTCTCTGCTGTGGAGCAGGGATGGCTAGGACTTTAGCATATGATGGAGGCTGAAGTATCATAAAAGAAAAGTAGTTTGCAGCTACCCGGAGTTCGGGGTAGAAGTGAACACACACACACACACACACACAAAAAAAAAAAAAAAAAAAAAAAAAAAATTACACATACTTTCAAGATTCAGAGAAAAGACTCAATTTGTTTTTTTTTTTCTATAATTAGTATGTCTTTTCTTATGCTATCACCAAGTTCAGACCCTGTTGGAGAATAATATGCCATGAACTTTTTACCACAGGAATTCATTTGCCAGTAGTGTGAGCCAGAGCATCAAAAGGAATTGGTAAAGTGATATGTATTTATTAGGGAGTGATTTAGTGTGGTTTTTAGTGCTCTAACCCCTGTTACAAATTGAACTGTATCTCCCAAAATAGTGTTCAAGTTCTCACCTCCAATTATGACCTTATTTAGAAGTGGGGTCTTTCTAATGAAACTAAGTTAATGTGGCCAACACTAGTCTAACTGGTGTCCTTATAAGAGAAAAAGAACACATGCATGCACGTATGCACACATGCGCACAAACCCCCAGGAGGATGGGGAGAATGAATATCACATAATGACATTTGAGATAATAGCAGATTGGAGTGATGAATCTTTAATTCAAGGAATAAAGGATAGCTGGAAATACCAGAAACTAAAAGAGAGGGGTCGGGGTGGGGATGCAAAGCCTGCCCCAGAGCCCTCAGAACCCTGTTGACATACGGATGTCTGTCCTGTAGCTTTCAGAGCTACAGAGAAGAAATTCTTTTTGTGCTAATTTACTGT